ATATATATATATATATATATAATTATTATTATTTCTAGGTTGCTCATGATCTTTAGTTGTTTGAGTATTCAATGGTCGTTAACCCTTTCGTTAATTATATATGTTACCCCTTATGTAGAAAAACAGGAAAAGGTAAATTGAAGAATAAATGACGTGTGTGTGACAAGATGTCTCTGTATTGGTTGTTGGCTATATAAGATTTAAATGGCCAGCTGAAAGAATCCATTGGCGTTGCTATGGAGCCAACATTAGCCAGTGCCCAATATTTTCTCTTCTTGACCTTTACCATCTTAAGCTTAACCAGACCAAGTCCGACCTTCCAAGCAATGGCTTTGACATCTACAAGGCTGGTCATTAAGGTTGTGCACCGTGATTCCATTCACTCTCCGTATTACAATAAGAATGACAATGTCACAAACCGCGTAGAACGTGCCATGAAAAGTTCAATCCTGCGATTTACTTACCTTCAGAGAAAGGTTAGAAGAAGTTTGCCAGACCCAGATTTCCAAGCTGACATTCTTCCTAGTGTAGATGGTTCCATGTTTTTTATGAATATATCTATTGGCCAACCACCTGTTCCCCAATTCACAGTGATGGACACGGGAAGCAGCCTTCTGTGGATTCCATGCCTTCCTTGCAAACGATGTTCTAAACAATTTGGTCCAATATTTGATCCTGAAAAATCCTCCACATATGCTTACCTCCCATGCAATTCTCAGTTCTGTCACTATGCTCCTCGCGGCAGGTGCAACTTGCTCAACCAGTGTGAATACAACCAGATATATATTCACGGTGATCCATCCGTAGGAATCCTTGCCAGAGAGCAACTCATTTTTAAGACATCAGACGAGGGCTCAGCTGCCATCCCGGATGTCATATTTGGGTGCAGTCAAGAGAATGGAAACTTCAAAGATCACCAAATAAGTGGAGTAATTGGACTTGGCTTCAAAAAGTTGTCCTTAGCAGCTCAATTGGGTTCTAACTTCTCGTATTGCATTGGCAGTGTTTTTGATCCTAACTATAGTCATAACAAATTGATTCTAGGCAATGGCGCTGTGCTCCAAGGTGACTCAACACCTTTAGAAGTAATCGATGGCCAATATTATGTAACTCTTGAAGGAATAAGTGTGGGAGAGAAAAGGCTTATAATAGATTCAAGTATATTCAAAAGGAAAACGTGGAAGAAAAGTGGAGTGATCATTGACTCTGGTTCAGCTACTACTTGGCTGGTGCAACAAGGGTTTGAAGCACTTCGCAATGAAGTTCAAATTCTACTAGACATGTGGTTGACACGGTTCTGGTATAATGCATGGGCGTTGTGCTACATGGGAACAATTAAGCAAGACCTGGTCGGATTTCCAGCTGTAACATTTCACCTTGCTAGAGGTGCTGATTTGGTGCTAGATACAGAAAGCTTGTTTGTTCAAATACAGCCTTATGCATTTTGCATGGCTGTGCTTCCAAGCTACGCGGCTGGTGACAATATAACAACTTTGTCCTTGATTGGAATGTTGGCCCAACAAAACTACAACATCGCCTATGATATTTATGGAAAGACATTGTCTTTCCAAAGGATTGATTGTGAGCTCCTCGATGATTAGCAGTTTCTAATAGAGCAGGATCATGTAAAAAATAAAAGCCTTATCATGTTCCAATCATTACACCTACGACATGGTCACTTAACC